CTTTGTTATTACTTGAGAAGTCAAGATGGAAGAAGAAATGCAACAGTAGGTTGCTCAATCGGTAAATTTTAGTAATTGAGATTACAGAACCTGTTATGAAAGTAATTGAGATTAGCTATTACTGCTTTTTCTAGGCTGTTTTTGTGGTAAGACATTAGCTTGGCAATTTTAATGACACTATTGAAGTGCATGAGAATATTTCATTCGTCTCTGAAGAAGTTCGATACTAATTTTTGAAAAAATATCAAAATTTTTTATTTTTTTTATCGATTTATAAATAAAATGATCGTTGTTAAAATTTCTAATCGGAAATTTAAAATTTCAGTAAACTCTCAAAATTCATTCTTATACACAGGCGTAAATAGGAATTATTTTTTAAAGTACTATAGTTTTTGCTACCAGAATACCATTACTAAAAACTATTTAGTATCAAAGAATGAAACGTTTTTGAACACATGAAATTTTTTTTTTTTACTTCAATAATGGCTTCATTATTTAATTACTAACAAAATAAGCGGTAACTTTTTATTAATGACGTCATATATATTGTGAAGTTAAGAAAAAACGGCAACAGCGTAAAATTATACAACGGCGGGAAATTTGAATAACTAATAATCATTTATATGATCTAATTTAACTCTCCAATATTTTCTTTTTTGCACGCCTCATGCTTCAAGCGGATGAGGTAGTGCTCTACTCTCGCATTATAAAAATCAAGTGATTTTTTTAACTAAAATTGTCTCTATTTATTTTTTATTGCACTTATAGAATAATATTTACATATAAATGTCATGGAAAAACACTAGTTTCAACACTTATAACATTTTTAAAAAACATTTTGCTTTTTAAATAAATAAAAAAAATGTTTAAAAAAATTACTTCGCCGACGTCCGTGTGTCAAATGCATTAATGGAAACTGGTGTGATCACGATAACTGTCAAAAACTTCAGTATTAACTAAAACTAAGTCCTTTCGAAGATCACAGTCTAATTCAATGTAGTTTAATTATAATGTTGCAATGTTGCAATCTTGCAAAAATAAAATAGATAATCCACAAGATCCCCTAAAGAGGTATTAAACGGCTCTATCACAACCATATTGCACTTATACAATAATATAAGTAGATGTACACCAAGAAAACACTTAAATTAAACCATCTTTTAGTTAGTATGAAATCTTCCGTACCACTCGAGTGATGCAAATAGATTTTCATACTAACTTTACTATCTCTCTATACCTCTACGTGTAAAACATGCAATTTCAAAAATTAATTACTCAAAAACGGTGCGGTGAATTGATCTGAAATTTTGTTGGTGAATTATTAATTTATTTATCTTTCGATAAAAAAAATTCCATAAGTTTCTTGAAATATGATTTTTGTGGAGGTACTACCTTAATTATAATTTTTTTTTTTTTTAATCAATTACAAAATTTTTTTTTTTCCTAAAAAATGAGCGTTATGAGGCATGCACTTTTGGATTTTCCAAACTTTTTTTACTCTATTGGTGTTTTATTTTTTTCTTACTCGAAAATTAAGGCATGCGGTAACGTCGGTTCCTGATAATACCGACTTGTTTCAAGTGACCGTTAAAACTTAAAATTTTCTCCCCTGTTCATATCTCCTCATCTAAACATACTGAAGCCACGCATTGTAATACTTTTGCAAGACCAATCAATCATGAATTTCATGCGAAAGTGTATCGAAATTATAGTAGATGATTATCAATTACTATTAAATTTTCTCTTCGAATTCAGTAATGTTTAGCCAAAAAATTTCATAACATATGTATTAATTTTAAATTACTACATTGTTTCAGCGTTTGCAATCTTGAAAACCGGAACTTTTTCTCACAGTCTATCTGACAGTATATGAAAATGATGATGAAGATGATGATGACGATAATGATAGTGGCGATGGTTGTTAAAGCAGCGACTCTAACTAATGACCTGGAAAAAAAATTTATGTAACCATACCTTCTTTATAAGTATCACTTAAATTCTGTTCGTTAGTAAGTGCATCAATTAAAGACGGCTGGATGAATTTGAATATTTTTTTATTCAAATCTTCATAATAATCCAAATGATGTTTTTTATTATAAAAAAAAAATGTAAAAGTTATCCGTAATATTAATAAATTTGATACAGAACTCTAAATTTTTCACAATGGGATTTTTGTATAAACTGAAGAACAATACTCATGACTCATGACTAAAAAGATGAATATGGCGCAATTCGTCATTTATCTTGTTTGATATCTTCCTAAAAATAATTTCGAGAAAAAAATTTTGCAGTTAAGAAAAAAAGTTACACAAATTCCGACGAGCTGTTAAAATTGTAAATTATATATATATATATATATATATTTTTTTTAATGAGGAAAAACAAATTTCGATAGATTTGAAAAAAATCTGGCACAACGACCCCTGGTAAAAAACATCTGTAAAGCTGGCATTGACCATCAGTATCTCGATTATTATTGAAGCAACAAAATTTATTGGTGGTGATAAATTTTTTGCTTTTTTGGTATTAATTAGTTGCTCTAATTAGCATTTTGTTACTTAATTAAATGCCGAGAAATTATTGATGATGTCGGTCAATGCTGGATTGTGTGAATGCTAACTTTATAGAGGTTCATAAGAAGACATTCTAGTTAAAAATGAACCCTTAAATAGCACACGGGGTATGAGGTACCGAAAGGTGAGTCAATATTTGGGCGATATTTTTTTCATTTTTTCGGCAATATCTTCAACAATCTTTTCTTCACAAATCGATTCATTAAATAATGAAATATAAACAAATAAAGATATACATGTATGCCATACTCATGTACACATCACTCGAAATCCCGCAAGAGTGCACTACTTAAAGATTAGAATACAATTACAATTTGGTAGTTATTAGATAGCATAAAAAGTTCAGTAAGATTTTGAACAATGCAATTATCTTGTTAATGAAAAAAATTCACCATTAAATTCTTTGAAAATTGAACAGGATAACATTTGTTAGGCCAGCTAGTAACTATATATAAATATGTATCCTTTGGAGCGATTGATGGTGTAAAAAAATCAATAATTATAACTTCAAATATCAAAATTATCATAACTTCGAAAGTGTATAACTTCAACATCTAGTTTCTTTACGTATTAAAGTGAAGCGACGTAACTTATCAGAAGTTCCTACTTAAAGTTTCATTACAAATAATTGTTACACCTATGTAATACATTATTTCAAAGTTATGTGCATAAGAAAATCCAGGCGGATCTTCGATGACCTAGTTAGACTCCAAAAGGTCAAATACATTTAACTTTAAATTTCTTGACTCTTTTCAATCGTAAAAATAATCTTTCAAATTGATCGATTTATTGGGTTGATACTGGGAACAAAAGATTTTAAAATGTATACAACAGTGTTCTTTTTTCGTTATTTTGATAGCTCTACTGGTCAAAATAGACTAAAAATCGGATGTAGACAAAATATACTCGATTTTTACTTGTATACCGTTCTTGGTTTTTACAAGGCTGAGTAGATAGTAGCTGTCGCATTCAGCGAGTGCGTCACCAACGTGTGTTTATACTGTCTTGTTTTATTCTACGTTTGGACCCCAGCACATCCCTTTTCATTCTGTGTTTCACCTTATAATCAACCTTGTTTTCGCACATTTAGTTGTCACATTCAAATATTCTCAACTTTTTATTATCATAGCGGCTGTGGAACTGACTTGTGCTTTCTGTACTGAATTTATCCTATTCCTCACCTCTTTCTATCGGTTGTTGGAATAGTGGCGATGGGGAAACCACAGAAAAAACCCATGCCAGTACAGTTCGGCTACTGGAGCAACCCCCGACGGTTGGTGTTGGAACTATTCTAACAACCGTCGGGGCTCGAACCCTCGCCTCACGACATGATGTGCGAACGAACTAATGGGATAATGACTTGTTCCGCTCGGCCATCATGCCGCATGTAGACAAAATAATTAAACAATAGGAAAACTTCATCGCCGTTGTCGTTAAAAATTTCTGGCCTTGAATCTGGTTATTTTGGTTAAAAGACCGATACCTTCAGTCGATAACTATTTTCA